AGACAAAAGTCACAGTTTATGTAATCTTCCTATCAATGTGTATAAAAAAAGAAAGAACAGGGATAGCATTAGCAGCGGTAGTAGCCATAGCGCATGAGGCTGAATTAAAAAGCATTGTGACTGTTACTATAGTGACAAAGCTAGAGTGAAGCTGCTTGGCACAAATTTATCTTGAACTCTGTTGCACGTGCACACTAAATTATAACATTCTTGCTCACTTCCATTGTTTATAGTAGTGCTTGGAAGGAAAGTGTGTAGAGTGTGGTCGTTTCACTACACCAGAGGTTCCATCAATGACCATAGCAGAGAAAATTGAGCACAGAATCTGCATCATATTTTGCCAAAAGCTTGGTAATATCTGTGCTGAGAACAAAAAGTTGCAGGAAGTGTATGAAGAGAAGTTTATGTGCCAGACATGAGTGTACGAGTGGTTCAAGCATCCCAAGATGACTGACAAAACATTGACAGTGACATGTTCTGGAGGATCTGCAACCAGCAGAATACATTGCAGATGTACAATACAGATGATTGGAAATACCATCAAATCACTATGCCATGAGTTGCTGGAGGATATGAATATCAGTTACAGTTCAGTTAATTCTCACTGAAGATTTGGTTAGGAGATGTGTGTCTGCCAAATTTGTACCAAAACTATTTTTAGTTGATCAAAAAGAAAATTGGGTTTCAGTTGTGCTGGATCTCCTTGATTGATTAAAGGAAGATGAAAACATCTTGAAAATGGTCATAACAGAGTGACAAATTGTCAGTGAAAGCTCCCAACCACCCCAAGACCAAAGAAAGCACAGTCAAAGCAATGAGAAGACACTGTTGACAGTTTTCATCATGAGTATGCTTCATTTGGCAAGACAGTAAACAAAGAGTACTATTGTGATGTGGTGCAGCATTTATGGGATGCTGTTTGTCAGAAAAGGACAGAATTGCATGCATCCAGTGAGTGGCAACTCCACCTGCCCATTCAGTGCAGCAGTTCTTAGCCAATGCAATATTCCCTAGGTTCAACAACCACCACATTCCCCAGATCTCACTCCTTGTGACTTTCATCTTTCCAAAATTCAAATCCCACTTGAAAAGAACAAGATTTCAAGACCTTGAGGAAATCTAAGAGAATGTGATGAAGCAGCTGTATTGTTATCCCAAAAATAGGGTTTCAGGAATGTTTCCATCAATAGAAATGATGCTGGAAGTATATGGTTTCAGAAAGTGACTACTTCAAAGATTAAATGCTGAATTGATATGTGTTATAGTTTTCTTTTTATAGCACCAGCCCCGATACTTTTTGATCAAACTTTATAGTAACCAAACTATCCAACACTCATTGAATATGCCTGTGAAATCTCAATTCTAAACAAAAATAATGGATTTCAACACTAAAATAAATCTGACAGATTTAAAACAATTATATTAGCAATCTATCAGTCTGTATGCATTTTTAACATTTTTATAGAGTAAAAATCACTATTCAAAGTTTCTTGTTTCTATGAATTTCTGAAATGAGTAATTATTATGCACTAATCTATTTGAACGAATATCTTTATTTTGGTTGTTATAATCACAGCATTTCAGCTGTTGTACCTGCTGGCCTTCTTTGCATATCTTGTATTTGGTAACTCATGTGATTTTTCAGCTGAACTCTTTTATTGTATCCATGGGGTGGATGTAGAGAAGTTCTTTTAGTTAATTTGTTCTGATGAGGTTTTTTTTTTTTAACCACTGAACCAGAATATGATCTTTTCCCAACCTAATGATCACTAGGTAACTAAATGCATTAAATCAATGTTTTTTTATGAGCTTCTGATTGTGTCTCTTTTTACACTGTCCCCCATTCCTTTGCTTACTACCTCCACTAATGCATTTACACTTCTTTTGTTATACTGATCGCATCATTACATTTCTTTTCCATAAAAGTATATTTCAGCAAATTCATTCATCATCAGGGATTAATACTGTTAGTCTGGTTCTATTTATAATCTGGCGTACATGTTGCCATTTTATCATGTTAATTGCTCGAGGACTCATCCAATTTAAGATAATGTAAAAAAACTTTTCTGAAGACAGTTTAGATAAAATATGAAATCATAAAAAGTTAAGTAAGAGACAAACCAGAATAAAGTCAAATTGCCACAACAAAATTTAAAAAATCTTGGCAATATATTGGGGGAATCTTTTCATTTACATTAAGATTTTCCAGATTGCAAAAGGCTAACTTGAAACAATTGTCTAAATTATTCCCAGTAAAAATTGAAATTTCCCCAAAATCTTACAATGATTTTACTACATTTAATATATTTTTTAAAATAAGGTAGAGCTGTACCCACATTGACAGTGTGCAGCACATTATTTCTATATGCTTAGAATATTTTAAATTAATCGTATTTTAAATTTTGATCAAATATAACTTTTCTACAATGCTGAAATGTCAAAAAAAGAAGGTCCTCTGAATAGTTTTGACACAATATAGCAACAGTGGAAAAAATGTTAAGGTCATTTGTTAAAGACAATTTGTGTTGAGAAAGAGAAATGGAATATATCCAATTCTGGAAGTTATTGTTGTATGCTCTCAGTGAGTGGCAAGCAATACAATTTCAATTTTTTCCCCCCCTTTTGGTACTAATGTTAGCCAAAACCAGATTGAAAACAAGTTTACTACATGAGTAGAGATAATGCTTTATATTAAGATATATCTAATACTGTAAGTGAAATACAATCATAGTCATACAGGCCAATGCTACACCTGGCTGAGTGAGAGCAGCACATGTAATCAGGTCACAATTTAAGTATGCAACAGGATTACATATCTTTAACTGTGAAAATGTATAAGTGATAAGCTAGCCAGTGGTCAGCAGAATTAAAATAAAGTGGAATGAAGGATGTGGTGATTTTGCTTGGGTCCTGATTGCACAACTTTGTGGTTGGAAGTAATCATACGAAATGGGCTTCTAGTTTAACTGAAACAAAAACTTCATCTCTTGTCCAACCTCTCATTCTCTATCCAACATTTTCAATGAAGTGAGATTTCTCAACCATAACAAAATTTCTAAATAAGGAGAAACACTTATATTGCAGTTGGTACTGTGACTGGTTTCTTCCAATGTTAGTTTTTGTCATATAGCAAAAAAGAGGTAACAAAAATACATTGTCCCATATTGAGTTTTAATGTTATATATAAGAGAGAAGTGGGAACTGCTCAGAAAAAAATGGGGAAAAATTTGGGAGGGTATAATTTTTGTAGATTATCATTCATTAGGCCTTTCTCTACCCTTGACATTTGGCAAAAAAAAATTGTTTACTTATTTTAGAAGGGTTCCCCTGTTCATAATATAAATACGGTGTCATTGATAACTGTGTATTGCTGATCTTTTCCTCAATTGGTAATAGTACATAATTATCAATGACATGGGTGCTAATCTACAAGAATTGTTAAAAAAAATCTTCCCTGTTTTTTTTTTTTAAGAGCAAGCCAGTTAATTTAAACGATGCTGGGAAGGGATATATTCTATATGAATATTTCTATGTAAATAATTGGTTCTTAAATCTTTATCTAGTTATGCTACTAGAAACAAGTTTTGCTTGCTTTTTGTTCAAACTGATAATTATCATTGCTTCTCTGCTATGCATCAGATATTTTATTGGTATAAAGAAATACAAGAAACTGATGAACCAAAACATTATGACCATCTTCTTAATGAAGTGTTGATCCTCCCTGTGTCCACAAAACAGTTCTTATCTAATCAGATATGGACTCTACATGACATCTGAAAGTTTCCTCTGTGTAGCCCTTTAACTGTTGTAAGTTACATAGTGAGGGTTCAGTAGAGTGAACTTATTGGTGCAACACATTTGATAAGTACTCAATAGGATTAAGATCTAGAGAATGTGGTGACCAGGGAAACAGTGAAATTGTCATGCTCCTAAAAAAACAAAAAACAACAATCTCCTACAACTCATGCAGTGTGGCAGAGTACATAGTCATGTTGACATATGTAACTGCTACAGTAAAAGACTTGTCATGAAGAGGTGTACCTGACCTTCAATAATGAATAGATATGTGGCATATAATAAAGTACCAATTCAGCAGAACATTACCTAAACCCTCACACTACCTCCATTGTCTTGTTTTCCCTTCACAGTATATCCTGGTGCTATCATTTCCCCCAGGATACCGTATCCTTCCATCCATCTTATTTAGGATTAAGTGAGATTCATTGAACCTGGTAACCTTCTTCCATTGATATAAGATCAAGTTCTTTTGCCTGCATGTCTACTGAAGATGCTTTTGGTTAGCCTGATTGGCCTATGCAACTCCATATGCAATAAGGATAAATGTATTGTGTTGTGACAGATTCATCCCCTCACCTTGATTAAAAATATCTACAGTTTATACCAACATAGCCATTCTGTTGACTTGTAAAAAATGTCTCCAATCAATTCTTGCATCAATAAGTCTTGGCTGCCCAATACCTTGTCAGTGGATGGTACTTTTTTCCAATTCACATGACAACCAATAGACAATCACAACTGAATGAGCACTTGGCAAACTATGTTATATTGGAAGTGCTCTGAGCTAGTTTTTTGGCCTTTTATTTATCCCTCATCTCTCAAATCTTTCTTGCTCATCTTTGACATTCAATGCATTGAAAGAAAGCTCTCAAGCATGCTTTATCTGCTTATACACCCATGATTTGGATGCACAGATTTATGAGACAATAACTGTTATTCTTGACACATATGTGTGGCTTCAATGTTTCGATGTACAACTACCAATATAAAGCACATTTTAACCTCTTCTCTGTGTGTACATCCATAAACAAAACATGCAAAAAATAACAAAAAAGAAGAGAAATTATTTTGTTCATTTTCTTTTAAATCAGAAGTGTATGTTAAACAAAATCTAAAAATTAAAAAAAAACAAATGCAAACTAAAAAGAAGTACGTGACTAAAATCTTAAGAGTACAAAAAAAAAAAACATGAAAAAACTTACCACAAATATTACAATTCCCAGAAAAACAATAGCACCCAGGGGCACAAGAATGTATGCCCAGGTATGCTTTCCTTCCATCTCTGGTGAGGTAGTTGATGTAGTTAGAGTAGTCGGTGCTGTGGATGTGGCATGGAAGGTAGCCAGCATACTGGTTGAAGCACCAGATTCTTTGTAAACATGATAATGAGTGGGTGGGGTGTTGGCATGGACCATTGGAGCCTGATGTTTCCCAAGTCTCACAGACATGTTTATCATGTCCAGTCTAAAATCATTAACAGTGCACACCTGGTGATAAGGAAAGTGCCAAACAGTGAGGCCAGTACCCAAAAGTCTGGCACAATTTTGTATTTTTATGACTAGAAGAGAAAATATGATTTCTGGCTAAGATTCATGTTGGTATTTCTCTACCAGTTCAAATTCCAAGAAGGTAATCCATTTTTATTTCACTGAATGGCAGGACTTCTCTCAGGCATCACATCTGTAAGAGAAAACATACAATAGAAATAACAGAAACAGCTGTATCAATCACTAAATAAATTATAAAAATTCTTGGTACAACCAGCCAATAAAAAAGTATATAAACAAGTATTCCTACCTAAAATTCAGTTAAAGTTGTTTATTGTTAATGAACAATGGTATTTTTTTCAGAAGTCAAATGCTAAAAATGTTCATTAGAAGCTTTTATGAATAAGATCTTATGAATTGGTTTGATTTTCCTCAATTTCTGTACTGTCAGATTTTTAAAACAAGAAAAAACATGAAGAGAGTAACTTTCAAAATACCACTTTTTACTGTAACATCAAAATTCAATGGGTTCAATCAGCTATTCAAGTAAAGATGTACTAATGCAAAATCATTACAAATAATATTAGTACAAAAAATTTAAGAAAGGTCAAAATAGAAGACAATTTTTTTAGAAATCAGAATTTTTAAGTTAATCAGACAGAATATTTCAACCAAAATTGAATTGTCTGATTAGGATGTTTGAAATAGTTCTGATTTTTTTTTTTTTTAAAAACAAAAAACAAGAAAATTCAATTTTTATTAAACAAAAAAAAAATTAGTTTTGCTTGCAAAATCCATTTTTAACTAAAGTTTTACAGCTATACATATAAATGTATCATGGTTACCTATTTTGACAGTATTTAGTATAATTGTATTGTTTTAGGTGCACCTAAAATACATCTGCCTAGAAGTCTTAATATATAAACATGACTATTGAAATCATATCTGTATAGTTTCAAATGAAATTTCTACATAATCAAATTGTAACAAAAGTCACTTACTTGGAAAAGTAAATTATTTTTATCTTCATTATCAAAAATATAAAATTCAATGAGACAATATTTTAAAATATCTTCTTCCAACTACAAGAGAGGTTAAATAAAAGAGAGATCAATTTTGCCAGAATTCAACTTATATGTTTGTATTGTAGATCTCAGAGAATTTTCAATGCAGCTTTTCAATCAAGCTCTGAGAGAAAAGTCAATCTTCTTTCAGTTAACCTGAAAAGGAATAATTTTTATTAATTCTAAGACCTACATGAATATATGGCTATTCTATTCACTCCTAGCAAATGTACAGATATGGATGTTGGCAACAACCTGTGATAATTGGTGATGGTTAATATTACAGTTAGCATTGATAAACACTTCACTTGGTTGGCATCATTCCAATGTAAAAAGGTACTGCAGCTTCTCTACAAGCTGCAAGACAGTAATAATGGAAATGGAAACAAAAGACAATTATAATTTCTGAAAACTAATTACAATTATTGACCAACTGTACAAATGGAACAACTCAGCTGTAACAGAGCAGACTGGGTTCCCTAGCATTGGTTGGTAATCAGCCTAATAGAAGGATAACAATTGGATGTGGGGATTGACAATTCTACCTCATAAAAAAACTACTTGCTACAGCAGCAACACTAGCATAGTGAGGCTGTGGCCCTACACTCCAGAGTGAGAAGTTGCTCTTTAAAAAAATTGTTAAATGTAACAAAAAAAAAAAATGAATGCTGTTAGACATGTACAGATGATTCTTTAATAAAACTCATTTAAAATTAAATTTTCCAGCATCTGTGTAAATAAAAATTGGTGGCAGAAATGCCTTCCACATATTGGTAAGGCTTTAGCTAGATGAAGATACCATTGTTACTAATGTCTTACCATTATGTGGGAGGTATTTCAACAAGTGGTATGTGAGTAGTATTTCTGTTGCACCCTGTATTTGAAAATAACAATTTGATCTCCATGCAATTTTAGTTTTACTCATATGCAAATAAATCTTTTACTACTTTAGATCTGGTTATATATCAGAATAAACTCACTTTCAAAAGTCTGGCCAAAGTTTTTTTTTTAAATCTCTTCTCGGTCAGGCCGAGAACTTTTCAGCATTCCCTTATAGTTTTTATTGTAACAGTTTCAAACTGGCAAAAGTTAATTAAAAAAATAAGACAAGAAATTATTTCATTGTTCATTTCCCGAAGACAATACTTGTCAGGTTTTATAAAATTACTAATCAATTATGTTCACTGGTTAAGAAATGATTGGCTCATTAGGAGATGAATAACAAGTGTCTCTTTGGAATATAATCAAAGTAAGGAGGACACTTCACAAGGGCAGATTCTTTTGAGAGACTTTAAAGAGTAGGTAGAAGAGGATGCAGCTATGGGAGAGAAGCAGAGGTTAAGAGGCATAAATAAGTCAGGTGATGTGATGCCTAAATACATTCTAAAAAATCTAAAATTTGGTAGCAAATTCTTTATAATGTTACTTGGCATTACTAGTCTTTTTTTTTTTTGTTTTCTTTTCTGGACACAAAGTGTGTAAAACCTGTTAAAAAGTTCTGCATATCCAAGTGGAGGTCTTATTTTCTGAACACAGCCACAATGTGCTGACTATGTTTAGAAAATAAAACATTCCTATGACTTTAGTCACATACATAAAAAACCCACATATTTAGTAAAAAAAAAAAAAAAAAAAAAAAAAAAAAAAAAAAGCCCTTTTGATAATGGCTAAAAGAATAGCCGAAAATGCTTGGATATGCAGAATTTTGGACAGTATGTACACTTTGTATCCAGAAAAGAAAATACTTGTACAAACAAAAGAAAAATTAAATAAAAAGCTCTATAGCAGTACCTTGTCAGTCATCTTTAATGAAACGTATGTGTGTGTGTGTGTGTGTGTGTGTGTGTGTATATATATATATATATATAATTACATGCATACATGAGGGTCACTCCTAAAGAAATATCTGCACTCAATGACATTTATAAATACTGGCTAAATGTTTACAAAGACCAAACAGTGGATGTTAGCACAGTTGTAATATATTTCAGCAATGGTGGCAGTGATGTGTGTGACAAGCCATGTTTCAGGCAGCACTGTACAGTTGTTAAATCAAAAATGAAATGTACCTCAAAATTGCATAGCTAGTGTTTTCCAGTTGAAAACTTGGTCTATCCAACACTGCCATTGTATTCCCTGTATCTTCTAATTACTACGAAAATAAATACTGCTTTTGGAGCATCTGCTTCTTTTGGACAAAAGCTTATGTTAATCAATTTTATGATATTTTGTATTATTTTTGTTGAAATTATTTCCCATTGTTAGTAGACTGTAACTCAGTAAAACACATTACATGCTATTTAGAAGAGAAACTGGGCACTGTTAAGTAGTGTACAGTTCTCTGAGAAATGCCATGAAGAGTAATACACCAATAATTTCCAAAGTCCTTGGATATTTGATTTAACTGTCAGATATTGCTTTGATTATATTTGCATTATATTTTTACAATTTTAATGGAACTTCAGAATGATATAGTTTTTCATTTGTTTAAATTTCTTAGATTAATTATTGTATTTTATTATAATGCACATGTTATCTTAATGATCATAAAAATGTAAACGGTGTAAGTCAAAAATATAGAAGTTGCCTCTGACAAGACTTGAACCCTCATCTCATAGGTCTTCTACTGCTAGCTGTATAACTGTAGGTTAGTCATATGCATGTCATGAAGCTTTTGTGGCCTAATCAATATCAGTGATAAAAATTGCTTGCTACTTGGAAACTGATTGCATTCTTCAAAGATAATTGGACTTGACTTGCAAAGTGTCTGGTGTTACTTGGGGCCAAAAATTATTCAAAATAACTCTTTATTATTTGTGTCAGATTCTTTTCTAATGGGTGGTGGGGTCATTTCATATTATAGACTGTCAAGAGCGAATATTTTAAGTTTATCATAATCCCTGGTGCTGATAAACATTGAACCGAACATGTTACAAAATTAAGGTTATACAAGGTAATGAGAACAGCTAACCACATTTTGTACAGAAATTTGAATTTTTATTATGTAGTTCTTTAGTTTTAATCAATTTTTAAAAGATTGAAGCTTCTCCATCTTTTCTTAAATTATATAAAAATTAGAGAAGCCTTTAATTTTCACATAAGGTTTTTTTATCTCGTATAATAGCCACATAAGACCATTAAATTGTCTAATTCTGTAAAGTCCTGAATAAATGGTAACCTGAAGATGTAATAACTGGTGAATACTGTGGATGAGTGAAAAATTCTCAGCCTAACTGAAACAGTTTTTGCCTGGTTACCAAAGAAACCTGCCATTTAGCATTGTCCTGATGAAATAATATGCTTTTCTAATTATGAAAGAATTTAATTGATTGCTTCCTTCATTTTGTCTAATTGGGAACATTACTTATCTGAATCAATGATTTAGTTCTCCACAGATAAAGTTCAGATTAAAAACCCCTTCCAATCCCACCCTGTACACACATCATTTTGGATGAAGATCATCCTTTAATAAGTTTAACAGTTCATTTTGTTTGCTTCATAATGTCTTACATTCCACATTGTTGAATCACTCATCACAATTTGTTTCACAAACAGAATATTTCTATATCATTTAAGTAGTGAATTGCACATAAGCTTTTCAACTCACTTTTGACATATTTAATCATTCACAAATTTCTCTGTAGAATACAGAAATTTATAAATTGTTTTTTTTTTATTTCTTAAAGTAAAAAGCTTAGTAGGCTGAAATGGTTATCTTCAATGTTAGAATCAACAAAAATATGCAAATTTTTACTATTTTTAATGCATGCTGATATGATGACTGTTACAATAAAATCAAAAGTACATACTTTTAATATCACTGCATGAAAGAAAAATTGATCAACCCAAAAATAAAGATAAGACATACAACATGTGTTAGCACGTGCAATACCCTGTCTTCATCAGCCGCCGACCAGGGGTGATCTCACGGTTTCGGTGGCTATGGCGGGACCGCCACCAGCAGCGTTTGCCACCAGGCAGGGTATGAAGATAAGCTAATTGTTCCTTTAAGTAAAATCTATCTGCAATGAAAGCTTCTTGAATGTGTTTGCTGTTATTGATGCCCTCGTAAAAGTCGTTATAGACAACCACGCAAATATCTCACTTGCGCATGTTAGGTTGTGATGTT